TAGGTGAGTGAATGGATAGGTTCATGGATTCATGGGTATGTGGATGGATGGATTCATCAGTAGATGAGTGGATGAATGGATTCATGGGTAGGTGAGTGGATGGATGGATTCATGGGTAGGTGAGTGGATGAATGGATTCATGGGTAGGTGAGTGGATGGATAGGTTCATGGATTCATGGGTAGGTGGATGGATGGGTTCCTGGGTACATGGATGGATAAATTGATGGGTATGTGGATGGATGGATGGATGGATGGATGGATGGATTCATGGCTATGTGGGTGGGTGATGGAGGGGAACCAACCACCACACCACCTTCCAGCTCTGCTTTTTTATTTTGAGCAATTTTTGCTGTTGGGGGTGTGTGTGTGTGTGCATGCGCTTGCCAAAGAGACAGAGTGACAGAAACCAAGAAATCACTCCCCCAAGGGGGATGGTCACACCGCAATCACTTCCCATCCATTCTCCTCTCGGGATTTTAGGCACGCATGCACACGCATCCACTGTGAGTTTCAAGCCATGGTCTGGGACTCGAACGCCAGTCGGCCATAAGGGAGTCCACCACCATAACCACTACGCCATCTGTTGGCCCCACCTTTTTTCTCTCTTCCAAGGAAGAGAGGGAGAATGGGAGGGCGGGGAAAGAGCACCTGCGACAGGGTCTTCACACAGCGATCCAGCCTCAGCTTCAGCCAGCACAGGTCCCAGGTGTGCTTGTGCACCCAGTGTAGACAGGGAGAACCGTGGACTTGAACCTGGTATCTTCCCATGCAGCTTCAGCATCACGGAGCTTCACCTTACCGCTGCACCACGTGGCGGGCCCTGGACCAGTTATTTTATTCACTATTTTTTTTTAACTTGCTACAGAACACCCACACTCATCAGAGAGAAAGTAAAGCCACCAGGTCCAGGACTCAAACCGTGGTCGGTCACGTGCAAGTCCAGTGTCTTAACCACCATGCCACCTGCTGACCTCCAATTATAATTATTATTTTTTTTAAGAATTATTTTCTATTTAACTTTTTATATTATTATTATGATTATTTATTTTAATTAGACCAGAGAGAGAGGGAAAGGGAGAAAACAAGCTGTCAGGTCCAGGACTTGAACTGTGGTCGGCCATGTGGGAGTCCAGCGTCTTAACCACCATGCCACCTGCTGATTTCCAATTATAATTATTGTTATTTTTTTAAGAACTTTTTTTTTTTCCTCTGGAGAGGTTTTTTTGCTATAGGGCGCGTGCGCTCGCCAGACAGACAGAGACGGAGAGACAGAAAGCGAGAAATCACCCCCCAGGGGGGATGGCCATGCCGCAGTCCCTTCTCCTCCATTCTCCTCTCGGGATCTTGGGCACGCACGCACACGCGCCCGGTGTGAGTTTTAAGCCACCGGGTCCGGGACGCGAACCGCGGTCGACTACATGGGAGTCCAGCAACATAGCCATTACGCTAACTGCTGGTTCCCCAAGAATTATTTTTTATTTAACTTTATTTATTATTACTATTATTATTAATTTTTAAATTAGACCAGAGAGTGACAGAAAGAGGGGAAAAGTGAGAAAACAAACCACCAGGTCCAGGACTCAAACCGTGGTCTCCCGTGTGGGAGTCCAGGGCCTTAACCACCATGCCACCTGCTGGCCCCCTCGAGCAGCTTTTGCCAGTGCTGTCTGTAGCCTTGGATTCAGGAAAGGAAGTTCCACCTTGAGTCATGAGCATGGCTGCCCACGTCCTGAGAGGAAAGCACACTTCCCACCCCAAGAATGGCCACAGCCACTTCACAAGGAACAAGGCCAGGCCTGGTTCTGCTTTCGTCCCCTCTGGGTCAGGCAACACGTCTTTGATGCTGTTTCCCACCGAGGCCAAGGGTCAGGGGCAGTCCGAGCCTACCCCCGACCCCAAGTTCCCCAATTAACCAGGTTTCGTCTGACTGTGTTGAAGGACTCTGTACCGGGAGCCCTGGGTCCTTTGAAGACCCCGTTATGACGAGTCCAGGCCTTGAGAATGTTTGGGAAACGGAGGGGGATGTCATTAATCAAGTGACAGCTCAGGGCCGGCCTGTCACCCTGCCAACATGGGGTCCGTGCAGACCCAGGACAGGAAACCGGATGCAAGTTGAGATTCAAGCGGGAGTCTGATTCCAGAACCAGCCACAGTAGCCGTGGCTGGAATGTTACTGCTCTACCCGCCCGGACCACAAGGCAGGCCTGGGTTCAATTCCTGATCCTGATCCAGCCTATAAAGGAGGGTACAGCGTCAGCTTGGAGAGATTGAGCAGGGAGACCGTGAGCTTGAGGGTGGCCTGGGGAACATGGCGAGATTCTGCCTTTAAAGGAGAGAAGAGGGTGGGCCCAGCAAGTGGTATGGCGGTTAAGGCACTGGACACTCCCACACGGCCGACCATGATTCGAGTCCCGAACCTGGCGGTTTGCTTTCTCACTTTCCCTCTCTCTCTGTGCATGTGTCTCTCTAGTCAAATTAAAATAAATGAACAAAGTTAAATCATTATTTTAAATAAAAGAGAGGGAGGGAGGGAGGGAGGGAGGGAATCAGAGGGACCAGTAGTTGGTGTAATGGCTGTCACTGGACTCCCATGTAGTGAACCATGGTTCAAGTCCCGGACCAGGTGGCTTAAAACACACCGGGCACGCTTGTGTGCGCGCCCAAGATCGCGAGAGGAGAATGGAGGAGAAGGGATTGCAGCGTGGCCATCCCCCCTGGGGGGTGATTTCTCTCTCTCTCTCTCTCTGACTCTGGCAAGCACGTACACCCTGTAAAAAAAAAATTTTTTTAAAGTCTCAAAAATAAATAAATCAATCAAAGTAACATTTTGGGGGCAGCAGATGGCATAGTGGTTAAAGCACTGAACTCCCACGTGGTTGAATGTGGTTCGAGTCCCAGACCCGGAGGCTTGAAATTCATGGAGGGCGTGTGTGCGTGTATGCCCAAGATCCGAGAGGAGAATGGAGGAGAAGGGACTGCAGTGTGACCACCACCACCATCACCCACCACGGGTTATTTCTCACTTTCTCTCTGTCTCTTTCTGCCTTTCCGATGAGCGCATAGGCCCTGTAGCAAACAAGTCTCTCTTTAAAAAATGAAGTAACAATGGGAACCAGCAGTTAGTGTAATGGCTATGTCGCTGGACTCCCACGTAGTCGACCGCGGTTCATGTCCCAGACCCGGTGGCTTAAAACTCATGCCGGGCGCGTGTGCGTGCGTGCCCAAGATCCCGAGAGGAGAATAGAGGAGAAGGGATTGCGGCGTGACCATCCCCCCTGGGGGGTGATTTCTCGCTCTCTGTCTCTATGTCTCTCTCTGTCTGTCTGGCGAGCGCACGCGCCCTACAGTGAAAATCTCTCAAAAAAAAAGAAAAAAAAAGAAGTAACGTTCTCTTTCTTTTCTTTTGATGACAGAGCCGTTGTGGAAAAATACCTGCTTGAAAAGTCTCGCCTGGTCTCTCAGGAGAAGGACGAGAGGTAAGAGAGCGTTTCGGGGGAGGGCAGGTGGCGTGGTGGTTAAGGGCGCTGGACACTCCCACGTGGCTAACTGTGGTTCGAGTCCCGAACCTGGCAGCTTGCTTTTTTACTTTTTCTCTCTCTGTGTGTCTGGAAATACTAAAATAATAATAATAATAAATAAAGTTAAATAAAATCATTTTTAAAAAAAGAGGCGACTCCCAAACCTGGCTGCTTGGTTTCTCACTTCTTTCTCTCTCTCTCTCTCTCTCTCTCTCTCTCTTTCTTTTTCTTTCTCTCTCTCTCGTCAAACTAAAATAAATAAATAAGTAAATAAAGTAATTTGGAAAATAAGAAGCAGTTTCTGCAGGAACCCCGACCTCAGCTGCACGCCTGTTTTTGCACCCACACAGGCGAGCGGTACATGTCCTGAGGTCCCAGGAACTTGAAGGGCTGTGGGGAATGATCTCACGGGGGGCTGAGTTCTTCCTTCTCCTTTGGCTTTCGGCTTCGCACTTAGTATTTCCTTTCTGTGTTCATTTTTCTGCCTCCCTGAGGATTTTCCCCAGAGTAGATGTTGAAATGTCTGCCTAAAATAAGGTCAGATTAAAACATCTCTGGGGGGGACCAGCAGTTAGCATAATGGCTATGTCGCTGGACTCCCATGTAGTCGACCGCGGTTCGTGTCCCGGACCCGGTGGCTTAAACTCATGCCGGGTGCGTGTGCGTGCGTGCCCAAGATCCCGAGACGAGAATGGAGGAGAAGGGATTGCGGCGTGGCCATCCCCCCGGGGGGGTGATTTCTCGCTTTCTGTCTCTATGTCTCTCTCTGTGTCTGGTGAGCGCACGCACCCTATAGCAAAAAAACTCCAAAAACATGGAGGGGGTGGGGCAGCAGGTGTTGTGGTGGTGAAGGACCCTGGACTCCCACATGGTCGACTACAGTTCGAGTCCTGGACTTGGCAGCTTGCTTTCTCTCTTTCC